TATATATATAATCAGATAGACTGTCAGACACCTATACGTGAGAGGTGTAACTCTCATGAAATTGAAAATGAATTTCACTTTGTTTGGGTTTTTTTTCCTTTATTGTTGAAGCTTTGCACACCAAAGGAAACTACAGTCAAACCTGCCCTGATGGCCACCTCTATAAGACGGTCACCTGTACAAACGGCCACTTTCCATTTCCCCCCTTGCGTTTTTTCTATATACTTTAACTGTGTAAAACGGGCACCTGTCCAACGCGTCCGCGGCCACCACAATTTAACACACAACCCCTATCACACTAAGCAATAACACCTGTCTTAGACGGCCATCTTAGTGACTCCATTACGTTTTGTCATAGATTGTGCATTGGCCCCTGGCGTTGTGGGCGAGCCGTCATAATTCAATTACCTGTCGTTGTTGTTAGGTAGTCCCTCAAACAGATCATGTTGCGTAGGCCCCTCCCGCTGTTGACCAACAGCTACCAATTTTCAGCTGCTGGTGAGGTTAGCGTGTGATCCCCCATAACCCATAAGCCCCGCCCAGAACTCATACACAAATCGTAAGTGAGATGAGTGGTCACTGTTTACCCAATCTGTAACAAAGTAACAAAGGACGTCAACATGAACTTGTTAAAGAAGCGTCCCTCGTTCTCCGAGTGGTGGCGACCCATGTGTTTGTTTTAACATGGCAGTCCTTGTCTGATACATTTCGTTTTATTGTCACCCTTGTGCAAAATCAGCAACAAAATAAATATTACAAACGAAATGCAAACAACCACCCCCACAACACCCCCACCACCACCACCACCACCACCACCAACAACAACAACAACAACAAAGACAACAAAAATGGGGCTACTTTCGAGGGGGGCCTCAGACGGGAATGGTTGGTTTTTCTTCATCTTGATCAGTCCTGCTTAAGACGGCCACCTGTTTGTACGGCCACTTTTCTACTTGACAATGGCTGGCCGTCTTACACAGGTTTGACTGTATTTATTCCCCTTCCTCCTAATTCAAACAAGTGATAAAAATGCAATGTGTAACACACACAAATGTTTATGCACAATCTATAGTTTTTTTTTTTTCATTACTGTTTTTCCTTGAAACATTACTGTTTGGGTGTCATTTATACAGTTTCACTGAAGTCTGTTCTGTAAAATTTGTCTATTTTTTGTGATGTGGGCCTGAATAATAACGCTTGCCTACCTCTCTCTTGCAGATTTGAAACGTAATACTTATATCTTACCCCTGATCTTTTGGTTTTATTTACAGCAAAACACCATAACAATAGCCACCAGACAATCTTTGATTCCTCAAACTGCATACATACACACCAAATCAAACCAGAAATAGCTGAATAGCAAGGTAATGGCCAGATTACGACGCCAAGAAAAGAAGTGAGTCAATGGTTGCAAGGTTAGAATCACAACAGTCAGCCCAGCTGTCGATTTTCGACCACGCCTACCCATTATGCAAATACGTGAAATTCTCCTGTACTTGTTCGGGTCTCTGCGGTCACCCTTGTTTGTTCAACATTATGACGATGGCTTCCTTGAAGTCATGAGGCACTTCTCTGCCTGCCTAACCTAACTTTACCAGTTTATGTGTCTTTGGGGCAAGGACATCTCCACCACTGTTGAGTGCCTGGACAGATACTTTATCCCCTACCTTTTTGCATATTTGACGCTTTTAATTTAGCACAAGTAGGACGTTTGTGTTTTGGTCTGAATATGTAAAGTTTCCCAGAAAAATGTGTTCTTTTTCTCCCCGCCCCCCTCTCTCTGCCCCCCC